GAACATTTTGAGAACTGATCTGATTTGCGTTTGGAGAGGTGTGCTGTTATCAGGGGTCTCAGAGCCTGGTTGGGAGCACCTTGCAATAGCCCAGGTGAGAGAGGACATGGTTTGCACCAGGGTTGGAACACGAGGGAAGGCGGGTGTCTGGGCACAGATGCAGGTGCAGAAATACAAGGAGAGGGCATGTAGGAAGGGTCTCTTGGGATTTCCTCTGTGTTCTCAGTGAAAAAGAAAGCATGGTCATCAGCTGAGAATGACAAAAAGGGTATTTGAAGAGAGAGAGAGAGAAAACATATGAAATAGTCCTCCAGGAGAGAAGGTGCTGGATGGACCAGGAATCTATAGACTCTGTGCAGGGGAGCCTTAAAGCTTGTTGAGGTTGGTCGTCACGAATTTCAGGTGAGACAGGACAACACAGCTATATGTTTTTCTCCAGTCAAGCTGAGCTGTGTGGATGCCAGGCAGACAGAGATTTCACCAGCTGGGGTGTTGCTAGGCATATGTAATGAAAGGGGGTTGGTGGGCATGTAAATATTTAAAGAGATGGGCCAAGGATTCAAGCTGAGTATACAGGCTTGAATGGATGGACATGTGGGTGATGGATGTGGAAACGAGGCATGATCTTGGCTAACAGGCTCAGTCAGCCTGAAGATTTATTGGAAGGGTACGTGGAGAAAGCCATTATTTCAATAGGTTCTCTGGTCTGCCAGAGCTTAATGAAAAGTACTTTCCAAATTCAAACTGAAAAAGAAATCTCTATGTCTTCCCCCAACCCATCCTGGTCCTCTGCACCAAGTTAAAGCATGGCATGGAGGAAGGTGACTCCCATGCTTTCTGTGACCTTCTCTTGTCCGGGCTAAATGTCTCCAGCCCCTTTGACACTTCTCAAGGGACATGCCCTCATCACCCTACCATTCTTCCTTGTATTTGGTCTTTTGTTCCCCCTGTGAAACTTTCTGGGTTTCACAGGGAAGATTCTACACTATTGGAGAAGCTCAAAACAATGAATCAGGCATCCCAGGTGGAGTTCTGCTTTCAGAACTGACCTCCCTTGCTTCTGTTGCTGTTCCTCCACAGGAAGCAATGATTACAGTCCTGCTCTGAAGGCCGGTGAGTCAGCTTTGCAAAGGATTTGCACATGTTTCCATCAAACAATGCTGTCAGGCTGAGAGTTATTTTGGGAAGGAATATATTAATACAATAAACTTGCCCAGAGAGTGTGCAGTCCCATTTGCAAATGTTTCAAGTCAGACTTTCATGTAATGTTAACATTCTCACAAAACTTACATGCAATTTTAACATTAGCACAAAATACGCCATCATGTACGGAGCAAGGGTTCAGATCGAAGCCTCTGGAGGCATCCTCGGCTCCTCTGTGCCTCTCCATCTCTGTCCAGTCCATCAGCAAGTCTCACCAACTCAGTCTTCAAAATATGGTAGTGTCTGACCACTTCTTGCTACCCACGCTGCTCCCAGCCTGGTCCAAATCATTACCAGCGGTTGCCTAAGCTGTTGCAGCAGCTCCCCAGTTGGTCTCCCTGCATTCACACTTGCCCCCCACAGTCCAGGAGCAACAGAGAAGGCTGAGTGGTCTTGTTCAAGTATTACTCGGCCAGTGTCATTCCTCTCCTTGGAATCTCCCAGTGGCTGCCATCTCCCCCACGGTGGAAACCCTAGTTCTCATGGTGGCATAAAGACTCTCTGAGCCCCTCTTTTTTCTTCTCCACTTTCACCTTCTGCTGCCTGCTCCCTGGCTCCCTACTGCCTCCAGCCGGGCTGGCCTCACTGATGTTTCTTTCTTTTTCTTTTGTTTTTTTTTTGTTTGTTTGTTTTTGAGATGGAGTCTCACTTTGTCACCCAGGCTGAAGTGCAACGGCGTGATCTCAACTCACTGTGACCTCTGCCTCCTTGGTTCAAGTGATTCTCCTGTCCCAGCCTCCCACGTAGCTGGGAATACAGGCCTGCACCACCAAGCCTGGCTAATTTTTGTATTTTTAGTAGAGATGGAGTTTCACCATGTTGGCCAGGCTGGTCACGAACTCCTGACCTCGGGTGATCCGCCCGCCTGGTCGCTGATGTTGGCCAAGCCTGGCTCCACGTAGCACTGTGCCTGGAGTGCTGCTCTCAGATACTCATGTGGCCCCTTTAATCTCCTCCTTCATGTGCGTGTTCGGATGTCGTCTCAGGGAGGCCCTCTCCGTCCATGTGTGTGAAACCACACCGTCTGCTCTGCTTCAGTTGTCTCTACAGCATCGATCACCATCTGACATGCTGCATTTGTTTTGCTTGTTTATTGGGAAGAACATAAGATCAGGGACTATACTGTGCTCATTGTCATATGCCAGGACCTGGAACGGTGTTCAGCGGCCAGGGCATACTCACATGTGTGTTGAATGAATCAGTGTTAGCTGAACAAATCAATGACTGTTGAAAGAATGAATAGCTATGAATAAATTTGACAGTTACCATTGCAAGTAGCTTAGTATCATGGTTACTAGAATGCCGGATCTTCCATTTAATAACAAAGTTAAAACCAAGGTACTTAACTTTCAGATATGTTTCCGCATGTGTGGGGTAACAAGGTCACTGAACTCACGGGGTAACTTTGGACAATGTGTAGAAAGTGCTCAAAACAGTGCCTAGCCTGACTTAAACACTCAGTGAATGTTTGCTATTACCATTGGTTATTTAAAATGTATTCTCTAACTTCTTGAGGTTCCAAATATGTTTCAGGTGCCATCCTATTCACTTTAATAGATTATTTAATTCTAATTCTCCTGGGGGCCTTACAAGGTAGACATTATTATATCCATTTTACAGGTAAGGAGAGCAAAGCTCACAGAGTATAAGAAACCTGGCCAAAGTCATTCAGTTAGAGCATGGCTGGCTGTCCAAGCAGGGACACTGCTGGAGGTGGATTCAGGAAAACATTTGTCCTGACCAGAAACTTAGAATTTGAATTGAGACTGAGGACAGACCAGAGGTTGGCCATGTGGAGGAAGCCCAGGTCAACATGCCTTGCCTTCTAGAATTTATTTCTTTGTGGGTTTTCGTTCTGTTCTGGTTTTGGTTTTGAGTCAGAATCTCCCTCTGTTCACCCAGGCTGCAGTGCAGTAGTGCAGTTCGTGGCTTATTGCAGTCTCCACTTCCCCAGGCGTAGGTGATCCTCCCATCTCAGCCTCCTGAGTAGCTAGGACTACCTGGGACTACAGGCATGTGCCACCACACCTGGGTAATTTTTCTATCTTTTTGTAGAGATGGGGTGTTGCCATGTTGTCTGGGCTGGTCTCTAATTCCTGGACTCACGCGATCCACTCACCTTGGCCTCCCAAAGTGCTGGGATTACAGGTGTGAGCCACCATGCCTGACCTATTACTTAGTTTATGCAGCAGATCTTGGTGGGGCACCTGCCTGTGCCAGGAACTGGGTTAGTGGCTGCGGCTACCGCGACAAGACAAAATCTTTGTCCTCATGGAGCTTACATTCTAGAGGGAAAAGACGAACAATGAACATGAAAATAAATTATAGAATAACTTCATATGCTGTTGAAGATGTGAACAAAATAGAATTGGGTGACAGGATTGAGGGGAAGGGTCTCTGCAGTTGGGAGCAGCCATCAGACAGAGTGTCAGGAGGTGACATGGGAGCTGGAACCCTGGTGAGATAAGACAGTGATGCCGTGAGCAGAGGGGCCAGCAGGGACAAGGGTCATGAGTTGGAAGCCAGCCTGGTGCACCCAGGGGACTGTGAAAAGCCTGATGAGTTTGGAGTTGGCAAGATTGGTATGATTGGTAATGAATGATCTGTTGGTGGCCAGACCACAGCCACACTGGGGGACTGGAGATGAGAGCCGTGGTTTGATTTGCGATGTGTTTTGGAAGTAGTGCAGCTGGCACTCAGTGATAGATTGGATATGGGTTGTTCAGAAAATAAAAGATGCAAATATCATTCCCAGGTTTTTGGCCTAAGTCACTCAGAAGACAGAGGCTTCATTTACTCAAATGGGAGGGCTGTGGAGAGGAGTCTGGGTGCACATGGCCGGGGCTGGTTAGTAGTCGGGGTCCAGGAGTTCTGTTTTGGACATGCTTGGTTTGAGAAACCTCTTAGGCCTCCAAGTGGAAATGTCCAGGAGGCAGTTAAATATGAGTCTGGAGTTGAGAGAAGAGTCCGGGTCAGGGATACAGGTGGGAATTGTCATCACCTGAGACAATGAACTGGATGAAACCACCCAGGGAGGCCATAGAGAGAGAAATGCGACTCGAGAGATGGCTGGAGCTCTGGGACACCCCAAGGTTGAGGGGTAAGGACAAACCAGCCTAAACACAGAAGAAGAGACTGGGAGAGAGAAAACAGGGGAGGGAGGGTCCCAGATGTCCATGAAAGACCGAGTTTTAACAGAGAGGGAGTGGCCACACTTCACATGCTGGGGCCACATTTATCGAGGAGTCTCACTTGGAGGGGAGCAGAGGCAAGGACCAGTAGCTGTGAGGGATGAGGGCCAGGAGAGACAGTACTGAGATGCATTTGTGCAGAGATAACTGAGTGGTGACGGAAGAAATTCTTTTTTTGTTATTTTTTATTTTGAGACAGACTGGAGTGCAGTGGTGTAATTGCGGCTCACTGTAGCCTTCACCTCCCAGGCTCAAGCATTCCTCCCATCTCAGCCTCCCGAGTAGCTGGGATTACAGGTGTGCACCACCACATCAGGCTAATTTTTCTTTTTTTTTGTAGAGACAGGGTATCACTGTGTTGCCCAGGCTGGTCTCAAACTCCTGGGCTCAAGCAACCCTCCCACAGCGCTGGGATTACAAGTATGAGCCACTTCACCTAGCTGGAAGGAATTCTTTTCTATCTGTCTGTCTATCTATCTGTCTGTCTCTATCATCTGTCTCTCTCTGTCTACTATCTATCCATCTGCTATCTATCTCTCTATATATATCTACAATCTATCATCTATCTATCTATCTCTGTAATCTACTATCTATCTTTCTATTTAGTGGAGTGGAGGCTACCTGGGAAGGAAGAGGTGAGACCCAATGCAGAAGACTGACACGCCTTGGCTCAGAGAAGGGAGAGCTCGTCCAGGTGCAGGTGGGCAGGTGAGTTTGGAGTGGCTGCAGGAGATCATCCTCAGCTGATAACAGCCTTTGCCACCCACTCTGTGAATTGCTTATTAACACTGACAGGTTTAGGTGTCAAAGGTGAAAGGGGACAGTCTATGCAGCAGCTGTCAGCTTTCTCGCCCCATCCCAAGGGGTCTCACACTAAGTCTGTACTAGGAAGTGCAAGCCTCAAGGGGTGGGTCCAAGAATCTAGATATTTGTAAGTGTTTAGTGAATCCAGTAAGCAGTCAGGCTTCAGAGTGCCTCAGAGGGGCTCACTTTACTCTTAAGGTCATGAGAAATATTATTCGAGTATCCGATGTCCAGGTTGCCTGTCGTAGGGCAGTGGAGAAAATGTATGGGATTAGGGGGTCGAGTTCTGATTTCTCGCCAGCCCTTTATTCTCACTGCCTACAGATTAAAGAACACACCATTTTGCCCAACCTCCAAGAACCCTCAGAATCCAGTCACTGCTTTGCTCTCCTGCCTGGCCTATCTCAACAGTCTTGTCACAAAGTTTTCTTACCCCAGAATCTACACCAATGAAGATTTGTCCTGGGAGGCCTGGGTGGTAGAACGCAGACCCACAGACCCATAGATGGGAGGTATGGGGAGAATATTCTTTCTTGTCCTGAAAAATTGTTTTTAAAAAAGTATTTTGCAATCAGGCTGCTCCTGCCCCTGGGATGGGGGGGGTTAAAGAGAGAGGCAGTATTTCTGGGGCTCAAAGCTAGGGCCACGAGGTAGAGGAGGCAGGGGGCAGGGACCACAGAGAGAAGGGTGGAGCCATAGAGGAGCAGCACCTGTGATGGTCACAGAGGACGGGAGTGGGGAACCTTGCTTCTCCCTGTCCCACCCCTCCAGGAAGGTCTCTCCTTGGTCAAGCCCCCACCCCTAGGAAGCCAGAACCTAATAAGAGTGGCCAATCCTACTGGGGATTCCTCCTCAGAAGCCAGAAGACAGTGGATTCATGGTGTGCAGTTCCCTTTGAAACGGAGCGGGGACTGGAGAACAAGCAGGCAGGAGACTCACGGGTCCCAGGTGTACACGCTCATAGCCTCGATGCCTTTCCTTTCACAAGTCGGAGTTGCTTTTTAATAAGCTTTTGTGGGACAACTTATCTGATGCTTGTGTTCCTAATTAGACTGTGAAGTCCACGAGGTGAGAACAGGAATGAGTCCCTTTTCCCAGTGGAATACCCAAGGTCTGAGACTCACTATTTGCTGACCCAGCTGGGGAACATGTTTTCAGCCCAGGTTCCCCACTCCAAAGCCTTGTCTTCCACCCCTCCTCTCACCTGGCTGCGCTTTCTCCATAAGGAAACTGGAGGTTCCTTAGAGGCCTGCAGGGAGGGCCAGGGACTCTGAGCAGCGTGGTGTGTGGCTGCTGTGTGTGGCGCTCCCACCAGCAGAAATGAACACCGTCAGGCTCATCTTGATTGCACCCAGAGCCTGTGACCTTCCTCAGAGAATCAGGGACCTGCATCTTGAATGGAGGTTTTAAGTGTCTGCCAAGTCATAATGAGTTTCTTTTTTCTATCATGAGGTCCATTTAAATTAATATTTTAAAAACAAAATTTATTTCTTTTTGAATAATTAATATATTCCTGTGGCTGAACTTTCAAAGGGAACAAATGAATGTAAAGTGAAGGGTTTCCTTTCCATTTCTGTCCTCTAGCCACTTTGCTCCCTCCCTGGAGGCAACTGATGCTACCAGTTTTCTGTGTCTTTTCCAAGGTTTGTGTCTAACCTACATACATAGAGACACACACAGATGCACACACACAGAGAGATACTTCTTTCTTACATAAATTGTTGCATATTTCACAAAAGGTTCTGTACCTTGCTCTTTGTGCTTAGTATATCTTGGAGATCTTTCCACATCAGAATCTACAAAGCTGCCTCTATTTTAATGTCTGCATAATGTCCCACCATATGGATGTAGCATAATTTATTTAAATAGCCCCTAATTAATGGACACTTGGGTTGTCTCAACCACTGGCTACTGCAGTGGACAATCTTTGTACTAGTATGATTGAGCTATGAAAGTCATTGCCCCTGGAATTCTCCAGGAAGATCTAGAAAGGGAAGAAAAATTAGTGGAAAGTTTGAAACAAGTCAGAAAGAGTGGATAGGGATCTGGACTAGAAGTCAAGAGATCTAACTCCTAAAAGTAATTTTTAAAAGGCCTCCTCTCAAGTTCCTAGCCTCCCACGATTTATAAAACAATTTAAAATCTGTTAACTCATTGAGTCTTTAGGAAAAAAATAAGCGTAAAAGGCTAAGATGTTTCACCAACTGCTTGACAAGCAATGGGCAAAGGATTCCCTGTTTAATAAATGGTGTTGGGAAAACTGGCTAGCCACATGCAGAAAGCAGAAACTGGACTCCTGCCTGATACCTTACACTAAAATTAAGTCCAGATGGATTAAAGACTTAAACATAAGATGTAACACTGTAAAAACCCTAGAAGAGCAAACAACAGAATGGGAAAAAATTTTTGCAATCTACCCATCAGACAAAGGGCTGATATCCAGAATCTACAAAGAACTAAAACAGATTTATAAGAAAACAAACAAACAAATAAACCCATCCAAAAGTGGGCAAAGGATATGAATAGACACTTCTTAAAAGAAGACATTTATGAGGCCAAGAAACATATGAAAAAATGCTCATCATCACCGGTCATTACAAAAATGCAAATCAAAACTACATTGAGATACCATCTCATGCCAGCTAGAATGGCCATCATTAAAAAATCTGGAGACAACAGATGCTGGAGAGGATGTGGAGAAATAGGAACACTTTTACACTGCTGATGGGAGTGTAAATTAGTTCAACCATTGTGGAAGACAGTGTGGCGATTCCTCAAGGACCTAGAAATAAAAATTCCACCTGACCCAGCAATCCTATTACTAGGTATATACCCGAAGGATTATAAATCTTTCTGTTATAAAGACATATGCACATGTATGTTTATAGCAGCACTGTTTACAATAGCAAAGACCCGGAACCAACCCAAATGCCCATTGATGATAGACTGGACAGGGAAAATGTGGCACATATACACCATGGAATACCATGCAGCCATAAAAAACAATGCGTTTGTGTCCTTTGTAGGGACATGGATGAATCTGGAAACCATAATTCTCAGCAAACTGATGCAAGAACAGAAAATCAAACACCGCATGTTCTCACTCATAGGCGGGTGTTGAACAATGAGAACACATGGACACAGGGAGGGGAGCACTACACACTGGGGTCTGTTGAAGGGGAATAGGGAGGGACAGTGGCAGGTGGGGAGGTTGGGGAGGGATAACATGGGGAGAAATGCCTGATGTAGGTGACGGGGGGTTGGAGGCAGCAAACCACATTGCCATGCAACAACGGTAGCTGCCCATGCAGCAATCCTGCATGTTCTGCACATGTACCCCAGAACCTAAAGTGCAAAAAAATATATGTATGTATATATATATATATAATATTTGCTTTATTGCAGTGGTAGAAGCAGACTTGCAATATCTTCAACATATGCCTATATATGATAAAGACTGTATATTATAGTGTTGTATAAAGTAGGCACTATTGAATGAATGGGATTGGGACAACTGAGTTGCCATATGAAATAAAATAAAGGTGGAAACATACTTTAAAAAAATAAAGTAAGGATAGTAAGAGAATCTATCTTTTTGGGTCATTTTGAGGATTAAATTAGCTATTCATGTAAAGTACTTAGAACAGGGTCTATCCTATAGTAACAGTTCAAGGGCTTTTAAGATCATTTTGCAAAAGTGAGAAAAGATAACACAGAGCAAAAAAGTTCAAAGTCTCCTGGCTCCTGAAGGATAGAGCTGGTGCAGGAATCCAGGTCTCTTGGCCTCCAAACAAGTCAGATTTGAACCACAAAGTCTTAGGCATGTGTTTATAAAACAGTGATGGCAGTCCTCACACAGAGCTGTTAATAATAATTATTGCCAATTCCCTGATGTTGTTTGAGGGGATTAATCCAGCCATACACTTAGTACTGTAGTCCGTCAAATCTAAGATGCTGTTGGGTCCAAGAAGTATTGTTTTGTGAGCCACTGGAAAGGGAAGGAAATAAGGAAGGGAGGGGAAGGAAGGAGCCCACTGAAGTTGTAGGATGCTATTCTGGTTGTCAAGCTGTTGTCTCTCAGCTCCACGCTTACCCTTCTGGCTCTCTTTCTCTCTGATGCTGGGGCTATGACCTGCACCCCTATTTGTCCTTTGCCAATAGGGGCACTAGAGGAGAGAGAAGGGACTTGCTTTTTCATGTTTGTCTGAATTTCCTGCTAGCCCCAGTGATGACATTGGCAGTTGATTCCAGCCTCCAACTTTTGTCCACTTCCAGAACTAGAATCATGCTGCCACTCAGAGTAAACAGTACCAGTGGGCAGTGTCCATTCTCAGAGGTCTTCAGGGCCCTCCTCCAGGCCCCTGAGGTGTCAGCACCACATGAGAAACACCCCCTCTTCAGAGGTCTTCTTTTTGATATCTCAGTTCTTCAATATCTGCTTAACCAATTTCCTATGTTAAATTCTTTCCATTAAAATACCTAGGGTGCTTTCCATTTTCCTGCCTGGACCCTGACTCAAGAATTATAAGATGCATATTGATTTCAGAATGTTAAATAAAAGTCTTAGATTTAATGCAGTAAAATGCCACAGAGAACTCACAGATGTCAAGGCTGATGGTGCCTTTGGAAGTGACCTAGTAGACCCCAGGGCTGAACCCAGGGGGATGAAGTGCCTTGCTCAAGGTCACACAGCCAGAGGTGGCAAGGCCAGTGGTCCCCACACTGTGCCTGAGTCTTACTCTACTCACCCTTCAGAAGGGCCTGGCTCCTGCTCCTGGGATGGACAGTTCAGTGATATGCCTCATGGTGAGATGTCCTCATCAAATCTCTCCTTTCTTTCCAGGAAGCGCACTTTGCTGGCCAATAATGGGTTTGCAATTTCTGCTGCATTGCTGATGGCCTGCTCGCTCCAGGCAGGAGCCTTTGAAATGCTCATCGTGGGACGCTTCATCATGGGCATAAATGGAGGTGAGAGTTCATCCTGACGGGAACAGTAACATATTCCTTGGGGGTGTCCCAAAAGGTGAGAGGTGTTTGGGGCAGTCACATGACTGGACCTCTCTGCTGATACTGAGTTGTCAGGGACCAAGGATGCTAGAAGTCTGCATAAAGTGGGACAGTCCTGTGGGATGAGCCATCCAATCCATGATGCTGTAGCCCCTAATTGAGGAATGCTGGGCAGGGTCCCCAGTCTACCCCAAAGACCTGGGTTGTCTTCAGCACGTCATGTCTTCTGCTTGGTCACCTTCGTCATAACTCATATTCCAAGGTTATCTGTGGTTTTCAGGGGGCTTTTATGAGGATGGTGTTTCTTCTCTGGGCCTCTGACTCATTCGTTGCTTCATTTACTTGCCAAGCATTTGTAGAACACCTGCAAGGGCTGGCATGCTCTAGATGGAGACACAATGATTAACAAGACCGTGTCCCTGGAGCTTATGTTCTAGTGAGCAGGCAGATACATAAAGTAGATAGGAGGTCCTAGGAATAAAACAAAGCAGGGCACAGGGGTGGTGAGGTCTGTTTTAGAGAGGCCAATCAGGGAAGACTGCTCAGAGGAGGAAGCATGAGCAGAGACCAGAGGAGCCGAGGGTGAGAACTGTTCCCAGCAGAGAGAAGAGTGTGACAACAGCTCAGAGGTGGAAGGGGGCATGGCATGTCTGAGAAAGAGCCAGGAGACGTGTGGGTGCTTGTGAGGGCAAGGAGGAGCTGGGGCCAGATTGAACAAGCCCTTGTAGGCCATGGTGAGGACTGTGGGCCTATGCTGAGTGTGCAGGGAGGGTTGAGAGGAATGTGACATGGGCTGGTTTGTTCCAATAAGGGAGTGTGAAGGGAAGCCAGGAGTGGAATCAGAGGAGCCAGCTGTTCAGGGAAAGGGACTGGGCTGGGCAGGGAACTGGGGAGAAGGGGACAGATCCTGGCTGTGGGAGTGAGAGTAGGAGCCTCAAGATACATTGTAACAGAAACTCTGCTCTCTTTGTAAATAGGCAAATCCATAAAGTATCACTTTTAGGGATTTGTGGAAAGATTGCAAGATTTAGAATTAGAGAGCCCTGAGTTTGGATCTCAGTTCTGTCTGCTGCTTGCCAATTTCTGATTTGTGTAAGTTACTTAATGTCTCTGAGCCTTGGTTTCCCCATTTGCAAAATAGAGATAGTCATCCCTACTTCGATCCAGCTGAGGAGAATAAATACCAATGTGGGCAAATAAATAATAAACCCTACTTTGAAAGGCTATATAAGGCTGAACTGAAACTCCTCCTCTCTGTCTCTACACACACACACACACACACACACACACACACACACACTGCCTGGAACCTAGCATGAGCTTCTTAAAAGCGAATTCCCTTCCTTGTTGATGTCTTAAAAGCTGAGGGTACCAGTCTTTATGAGCGAGATGAACAAAAAAATGTCTCAGGGAGAGGTGAGCAGGAGAGTGGGGGCATGGAAGTAAAGTTGGGAGGAGGAGGCTTCACTGCCCTTTGCTGCCCTGCTCGAGGGGAATAACCCAGGAGCCTAACAGAACAAATTCAAGATGGAGTGGCTTCTCAATCATTCGCCTATTCATTAGTGTATTCTACTTTAATAGACTCCTTCCATTCAAGTAGAAGGGCGATGGCTAGAGAGGGTTTATCTGTAGGAATACTGGCTGCAGTCTATGTAATGTTTTATAATTGACCAACTGTGTTCATGGTTTTCATCATGTTCATTTTTCAAATGAGGACACGGAGGCTCAGAAAGCTGGAGCAGGTAGTTAAGGGTGAAGTCTATGGATTCAGACTGCCTGGTGCTCTCACTTACTTCCATTATTCATTAACTTACCTGTATAGGTTAGATTTGCTGCATTTTTAAAACCCCAGACTTAAGCCGTGATGGCACCACTGCATTCTAGCCTCGGCTGCAGGTGAGACCCTGTCTCTTAAAACAAAACGTAATGGCTTCAGGCAAGAACCGTTTTACTGTGCTTTCAGTTTTGTGGGTCGGCTGGGTAGTTCTACTCTGGGCCAGCTCTGCCAGTCTCTGCTGGGTCTTCCCATATGTCTGCAGTGGCTTCAGGTTGGTCAGTGGCTGGATGACCTGGGATGGTCTCACTTCTGTGTTTGGCTGTTAGCAGGTGGCCTGATCTCAGGGGCTCTCAGTGTGCCAGCTCATTTCTTGGCTTCCCACCCTGGGCTGCCTTGCATAGACTTCTTGGGCTTCCAATAGCAGCCAATAGAGAAAGTCCCAATGTGCAAGCACTTTGCATGCGCGTTTGTTGACGTCCCTTCGCAGAATGAATGTCAGAGAGGACTAACTCCCCACGGAGGTGGATCCAGGGAGGGGTACAAATCAGGGACCACTGCAGCAACCATTCAACTCACTGTCTTGGCCTCTTTCCTGTCTGGCAAGGCGACTTAGTAGTAAGGCCTTTCTCATTGGGTGGTGTAAAAGTTAAATGATCTCTCTTGTATGTGAAGTGCTTAGTGTAGTTCCAGGCACTCAGTGCTCCACTCCAGGAACGGTGATGGTATTATCATCATTGTTGTTGTTGTTATTTGTATTCTTAATTAACGAAGGACAGATCTAGGATTTGGGTTTCAAAGGCCCTGCCTGCTTCAGAGAAAGGCTGGCTGAGGTTGGAGTGGATCACCTGGCAAGTCCTTTCCTCCTGGTGGTGACTGAGATTCTTTCTGTTTGGCAGTTTTATATCTTATCCATTAGCCCCTTTCTTGTTGCTTTAACTAATCTGGGGAATTGACCCTTCTAACATATAACTAATCAATCTCTGAATTCCCTTAACTAAAAATCAGCTGTATCCCAAGATGGCTCTTTTAGAAAACCACAGGTGCAGAACAAATGTCTTTTAGACCCTTTTTTCTAAGAGCTTTTCAAAAAGAAGCAGGAAAAAAGAAGAACAAAGAGCAAAGAAAAAACTCCGGTCTTTCTGACTTGTAGCAGGTGGCCTGTTGGAGTCATGCCAGGGCTTGGAGGCTTCATGTCATGTATTCTCACCAACCCTCTCAAAGCAGAGAGAGAAACTCGAGGGCACTTAAGGTGGGGCAATTGGTCAGAAAGGAAGGAATGTTGCTGACATTACCTGGACTGGCTGATCTGTTTGTAAAAAGAGTTTAAAGCCAAATGATAAACCTGAAGGGTTGTGGGCGGTAGAAGACTCTGACTCGCTGATCCAACCACGTTCTCCTAGGGTATTTGGAACCACAGTGGGGCAACAGGGTGTCTTCCTGGAGTGTTCTTCATTAGAAGGCTTAGAGAAGAAGAATAAGCATATTATTCTTTACATCAATACAAACATGATACCAAATGCTGTTGGAGGCAAAATTCATGTACATAATAAAGTTAAAATAGGAGACTGTACTGATTTTTTGTGTTTGTGGAAGATTGCACTGGACATGTCCCTGCCATGGCCTTCCCAGTGCTGTCTACATCCCGGAGGTGCAAGGTCACATCTGAAGTAGGAGCTCTCTAGTGGACAAGCCCATGTCCACTACTTTAGAAGTCCAAGATCAGCAGGATAGATTGCTTTTGAGGCCTTCCATGGAGAATCTGTTCCAGGCCTCTCTTCTACCTTCTGGGGGCGGCCAGAAATCCTGGCATTCCTGGCTTGTTGCTGCATCAATCCGGTCTGTGTCCTTGTCACATGGCCTTCTCCCATTTCTGTGTCCGTGTCTGGGTCTGTGTCTTCACCTAGCCTTCTTATAAGAATGAAAAGTATTGCATTTAGGGCCCATCCTACTCCAGTACGACCTCATCTTAACTTGATTACATCTGAAAAAAGCCCTATTTCCAAATAAGGCTACATTCACAAGTAACAGGATTTAGGGCCTCAGCATATCTTTTGGAAAGACACCATGCAACCCACTGTAAGAGGTGACACTGAACAGAGACTGGAAGGTTGATAAGCCTGTGGAGCTCTGTAGACAGAGGGTCCCAGAAAAACAGAAGAGCAGAGGCCAACATCCTTTGATCAGAATGATCCTGGAGTATTCAGTGAACTCCATGTCCAGGACTCCTGGGGAGGAGAGTGGCAGAACATGGGCTCAGAGGTCAGAAGAGGCTGCTCAGAGGTAGGGATACTTGGTACAGCCTAGGATGACCAACTACCCTGGTTTGTCCAGGACTGAGGGGGTTTCTGGGTGTTACTAGGCAAACCAGGGTGAGCTGGTCACCTGATGGCAGACTTTTAATGCAGCCCACCTCCTCGTTCACTGCTGCTTTAGCCACTAGTGTCTCCCCTTCCATGTCATTTCACAGTGGGCAAATAAGAACAGTCACCATTTTTGACAGCTGAGTCTATGCCACGCACTCTGCTAGGCATGTGACACGTGTTCACACATGCATAGCACCGTGTGAAGGAGATGTTACTGCCACGCCAGCTTTACAGAAGAGGCAGATAAGTTAGCTCCACGCCTCATGCTGGCACTGCCTCTGCACTACAGCTCCCTCATTTCCTTACTGCGTTTTGTGAGATAGTGGTGATTAATCCCCTTGTTGGGTAGGAGGAGCATCAGGGTAAAGAAGAAAACAGCAGTTTTGAAGTGTTCACCAAGTGACCACACGTGACCCAGGTGCTTTACATGCAGTCATTTTATTCTCATTACAGCAGGAATAGTCATCACTGTAGTTTACAAATAAGTGAGCTGAGGGCAAAGAGATTAAGAACATTGGTCAAGTTCCCCCTGTGAGGAATTCGGGGCTGTGGGACTTGAATCCAGTGTAGCACCGTTTTCCCTCTATCTTGCTCAGAATAATCGACTAAACTGTTAGGTGGGCTGCCAATTACTCCATGAGGCCATATGCTCCCAATAGATGTGTTCTCAATAAAAACTCAAGCATCATCTGGTCTATGGTTTGACAAATAAGTTCCATCATCTCTTTGCTTCTTAAGTATGTTTGTTTTGAGTGGTAAACTAGAAACAGTATCCTGGGCTAAGATGCAATGAATAAGATTCCCAGTTTGTAAATTGGGGTGTGTGTTCCCTTCACTGATTTGTTTTTTCAGGAAAGTCTTCCCTGAATGCTAGCAACTGGGGTGAATTCAGTTCAACACACTTAGGCACATCGATTGGTGCCTGAGGTCTGCTGGAAACGATACTAGAGGCATTGGAAAACCAAGGCAGGAAAGACATTTTTGATGCCCTCATAACCTGGTGAAAAATTAAACGTTAGTAATAGGTGCTGATAGTTATAATTTGTACAGCATTTTACAATGAGTAGGTACTGAGCGTGCCTTAACTCTCACAGAGATGCCACGTACTTAGGCTCAATATTTATCCCCATCTTGTGGAAGCTGAGAGAAGCTAACAACTCCGCCCAAGTTCCCACAGCTTGTAAGTTGCAGGAATCTGTGCTCTAAACAATCAATGAATCTACCTGGGATAAGTGCAATGTAATAATTTATAGGCCTACAAAGTGACTTAAGAATAACCATACTCAGGTATAGGGGAAAAGCAAGCTTTGTTTTTTTTAATTGACAAGTCCTCATATTGTTTTTCCTAACAGGCCCGCTGTGTGTGCAGTAAGCACTTTGTAAAACATCTTTACAACTGTTCGTTTTTATTCAAAATATCTGTTGTAGGTCTCCGAACATGTAAATTTAGCTAAAAATAGATTATATGTGGGTGGCTTATTCTTATAAAATGAGTATAACAGCATCTGCCATAACTGAGTCCCATAATTTATGACAAGAGGCAATGTTAGCTGGTGTGAAAAGCTCAGATTCTAAGATCAGAGACCCACTGGGGTTCTGTTGGGCAAAATAAATTTTTGGGCATCTCTGGACACCACTTGGTGATTTAGGCAAGTAACTCAACTTCTCTGTGCCTTAGTTTACTCTTTAGGATAGAAATAATAATAGTATATTTAATTCAGAGGATTATTGTAAAGAGTAAATATGTTAATACATATAAAGAGATAAGAAGGATTCCTGTTAATTGGTAGCCGCTGTGTATTGGCTATTATCATCATCACCACCACCACCATCACCATCATCATCAGCTTTGCTACCACCATCACCACTACCATCACCACCATCACTGTCATCACCATCATGACCATCACTATTAACAGCACAATCACCATCATCATTGCTACAACCATCATCACCATCACCATCACTACCACCACCACCACCATCACTATCACCACCATCACCACCACCACCACCATCATCAGCTTTGCTACCACCATCACCACTACCATCATCACTATCACCACCATCACTGTCATCACCATCGTGACCATCACTACTAACAGCACAATCACCATCATCCTTGCTACAACCATCATCACCATCACCATTGCTACTGCCATTACCACTACCATCATCATCACCACCATCACCATCATGACCATCATTACCACAACCATCACCATCATCATTGCCACAACCATCATCTTCACCACCACCACCACCACCATCATCACCATCATGACCATCGCTACCACCACCATCATCACCACCACCACCATCACCATCATTACCATCACTACCACCACCACCATCACCATTACTTCCATCACCACTACCATCATCATCACCATCATGACCATCACTACCACCACCACTACTATCACAACCATTATTATCCTATCACTACCATCACCATCACCATCACCATCATTACCATCACCATCATTACCATCACTACCACCACCACCATCACCATTACTTCCATCACCACTACCATCATCATCACTATCATGACCATCACTACCACCACCACTACTATCACAACCATTATTATCCTATCACTACCATCACCATCACCATCATTACCATCACTACCACCACCACCATCACCATTACTTCCATCACCACTACCATCATCATCACCATCATGACCATCACTACCACCACCACTACCATCACAACCATTATTATCCTATCACTACCATCACCATCACCACCACCATCATTACCATCACCATCATTACCATCACTACCACCACCACCATCACCATTACTTCCATCACCACTACCATCATCATCACCATCATGACCATCACTACCACCACCACTACCATCACAACCATTATTATCCTATCACTACCATCACCATCACCACCACCATCATTACCATCACCATCATTACCATCACTACCACCACCACCATCACCATTACTTCCATCACCACTACCATCATCATCACCATCATGACCATCACTACCACCACCACTACCATCACAACCATTATTATCCTATCACTACCATCACCATCACCATCACCATCATTACCATCACCTCCACCAACACCATCAGCTGTGTCCTGTCCTCTGAAATGTACCTCCAGTCATACTTTAGGGGTTAAATTATAAAGTACATGGGAAAGCTTTGGCAATTTGTGCAAGTGCTGGGAAAGATGCTGTGGCTACAGTGCTATTTAATGTCCAGGGCAAAGCAGAGCCAAGAGAGGCACTGTAACCAGAGTGCAGCTCCCTCAGGAAGACACCTCTCTAACTGCTGCTATGCTTCCTCCACAGGCATTGCCCTCAGTGTGCTCCCCATGTACCTCAGTGAGATCTCACCCAAGCAGATCCGTGGCTCTCTGGGGCAGGTGACCGCCATCTTCATTTGCATTGGTGTGTTCACTGGGCAGCTGCTGGGCCTGCCTGAGCTGCTGGGAAAGGTGAGTGTGGCTCCTTGGCCAACTGCATCTGCTCTCATCTCATGTTATCACTGCAGGAAGGAGCCCTTCCTCCAAAAGCTGATCTCTGTCTACTGCAATTCCTTAGTGTTCAAGCCTCTTACTTATTATTGGAGAAAGCTGTGGAGTTTCCTTGGAGTTTAATTTTTTTGAGGACATGAAGAATACATAACAAATTCAAATCTTATAGAATATTTAAGTTCACCCACCCAAAATTACCATTAACAGCTCCATTTGTGTTTGTGTAGGCTTCTACTGTGCTTTAAAAACCTAAATAAACATATATAGTTTGGTATGTTTTTTGGTGGAATTATGCCATACACATTGTTCCACAACCTGGTGTTTTCATTTAATATATTTTGGGCAACTCTTCAGGATGTTAGCTTAGCTCTACCTTGCTCTTGAGTCTCTTTTTTCCTGGATAAATAAGTAATGACAGTCTTCTGGTTTTGGCTTGCTATTTTGGGAGCAGGTGGGCCTGAATTTGAATCCCAGTTCAATGATTTACTTGCTGTGTGGCCTTGGCAGGAAGAAAAGAAACACTTCACACAGGTTGAGTGGGGTGGGGTAAAATCAAGGAAGACTTTTCAGAAGAGGTGGCCTCTAAATGGACTCCTGAAGGGTACGCAGGAGTTAGGCAGGTAATGATGAGGATTGAGAGAGAAAATATACCAGAGAAAGGAAATCAGTTAAGAAAAGGCTGAAGATGGGGAGCAGCCCTGGGAAGGAACTCAGACGGCTTGGGGGCTGAGGACAGAGCAGGCATGGGGAGGGTGAGAGTTGAAGCGTCTCTTCACTGAGGCACCACAGACTTCACCCTGGGGGCATAGGAAGCCCTGAGCGGCACTGGAGCTGGAGGGTGACAAGGGTAGATCGGTGTTAGAAGGTGGTTCTGGCGTGGAGGCGGTGGGTGTAGACTAGAGTGGGAAGGCTGGGGAGGAGAGAGAACAGGCAGGGAGCTGCTGCTATTGGTCCACGTGGTAAAGGAAGGGTGCAGCTGCCACTGAGGTGGTGGGAATGGGGTTAAAGAGGAATGGGTATGTTCAAGACCACGGTGGATGCAGAGGCCACTGGACTTGTCAGGATGTCTCCCAGGAATGCAGGAACACTCTCTTCCCACTCACACAGGAAGGCCAGGAGTGCGGGCAGAGATTAAACCACTAATGATAGTCGAATGCCCATGGCCTGCCAGAATGTTCTAGGCATTTAAACAGTGCACAACAGACAAACAGCTCCCTGTGGAGGTGAATTCTAGCAGCAGGAGGCAAACATAACACATTTGCAAGTCCTAGAGCGGTTATGTAAAAGACTCGTTTGTTCTGCTGCTGAAACCCTAACAGCTTCTTTGTGAGTACCTCAGATCTGCAGCCTTGGACGCAAGCAGAGAGAGGTAAGGTACAGAGCTCTAATGAACAAGGATATATTGATGCTGAAACCGGAACCCGGGTCTGTGTGCTTTCAAAGCCACGTATGGGGTGTGTCATATACAGCCAAAGACAGATCACACTGGTGTCTGGGAATGTGGCAGCTCAGGAGAGAAGGGGCTGATTCTGCCCTCAGGGTCCTTTCTGTCCCAGCTGCTGAGCCTCACCAACTCTAGGGCCAGCTCCTTTCTCATTCAGTGGAAGGTTTTTTATAAGCGGAGGAATCATTGCATTGCATTTTTAAAACGAATTGTCAACATTTTGAACATTTTTTTATTGTGGTAAAATTACCGTCAAAATTTACCATTTTGACCATTCTTAAGGGTACTTTTCTGTGATATTATAAGTGACTTAATATTTCAGCCAATCCAGGTCCCCTCAGAGGCACCTGCTTCTGACCTTTTGTTGTGACCATTCTGGGTTATTCTGGGTATGATTTTAGTTTCTCCTTTTGCAAAAGCAGAAACAACTCACACTTTACATTGCGGTTGTCACGGGCCTGATGATTTCTATAATTAGTTGTGTATTACAAACAGTCTCCCTACCTAAGTGAGCTTCCAAACAGAAGACACTCTTGCTTTTTGTTTTTAAAAATATTTTAAAATTCTCAAAATAACCACCACTGTTGACAATAAAAACCAAGATAACACCTCAGCTCCCTAAACAAAAATACATTTAAAGGTCAATGAAGTGTATGATTGTCCTTTAGGAGGAAAAAAAGTAAATAAATACTTGCCTCAGTAGAGCTAAGCTTTTCTCCTCGGGGATGGTTTCCAAATTCCTTTTCACTCGTCAAACTCTTTATAAATCAATGTCAGGTTCTTTCTCCTGCTTGAGTCCTCAGATCTTTCCTCCACGTCTGTCTTCTTCCTTTATTTATCCATTCAGCACATTTGTTAAACACTGAGTTGTTGCTGGAGCTACGGCTTTGAGCACGTCAGGCACAGCCCTAATCTTTATGTTGCTCAAATTGTGAGGACTGTGTGACCTTGGTCAGGTCAACTCACCTCTCTGAGCCAGGGTTCTGTTCCGTTAGCAGGCGTGGTTACAAGTCCCAAATTCCCAAGCCCCACTCAAGCTTGACTTCCCCTGGGAAAACACGGCTGGCAAATAGTGACTGTTCAGTGTGCCCCAGGACACTGTGCACCTGTGCCTCTCCCACACTGCTTTCCATTTGCTTCCACATCTTGTCTCGCCAGTTGATGGTGTCTTTCTGACATGTATGCATACTAACCCAGGGGCACCAGGTGTAACCAGTCATTCAACAAATAGTTTGTAAAGCTCCTATTGTGTGCCAGGTATTGGGTTGGCTGCTGGTGGTTGAGTGGTGAGGTCATCAGGCTAGCCCTGTCCTTGGGAGCTCACAGGAGGGCAATTGATCAATGGCCATAGGCGATAGGAAGATAGGCACTGACCTCTGGTAGGGTGTCGGGGACAGTTTTCCTGCAGGAGCGACATCTAAACTCGTGGCTTGAGGATGAGTAGGACTTATCTGGATGGGATGTAGGGAGAGAGAGGCAATAGGGGCCGGGCGTTCCAGCAGAGGTAAGAGTATGGGGGAAGGCCCTGGAATTTGTTCAGAGGCAGAAAAACTCAGGTATCAGGAGCATGGAGAGGGAGAGGGAGGTGCCACTGGCAAGGCAGGCAGGGCCAGATCTGTGGGTGGGAGGGCCACACCTGTGCTACAAGTGAGCACAGGGAAGGATGGGCAAGTTGAAGGGTTCTGGACTTGAGGCTGCTTGGGGGACAAGGACAGCCCTACTGTTTCCATCACAGATGCTGGCCTAGAGATGACAGATTTTCTGATTTTCAAGAGACATTACAAATCCAGATTTAATGTCATATTTCATAATTTGTAAATATTGGAAACTGACTGACCTTTAGAAAACAAAACAAAAAACCTCCCACCTGTGGGCTGTGTCCAGCCTCAGGGCCACTTTTCACACACCTTGATGGGGAGTGTGTATCTGTGAAGGCTTATTTGTATCCCAAAGCAATGGGACATCATTGAGGACATGATGAGTGCTTCAAGAAGGCTTTTGGGCTGCAGCCTGGAGAAAGGACTGGATCCCAGCCAGGACTGAGGGGGTTGACTGGTCTGGTTATGAGCTGGGTCAGAGTAATGGCAGTGTGGATGGAGAGAGGCGGAAGAGGTTGAGTGAGGCTAGTGGCGATAGGAAGTGGTGTCCCGGGGAGGAGGAGTCAAGAACAACTCCCAGGTGTCTGGCACATCAGCCAGATAGAAGGGTGGTGCCGGATGCTAAGACAGGGAATTGTGAAGGAGCAGGAGCAGCTCTGCAGGGGACAAGACAATACGTTCACTGACATGAACTGTGCATATCACAGAGCAACTGGAAGGAAGAGCTGATTCAAGGACCTGAGTACCTAGATTCCCAAGCTGGGGCACTGTCTCCCAAGGACAACAGGGCTCATGAACATGATGCCAGCCAAGGGGCACAGCTGCCCACACCCACCTTCTGGCCTCAAGCCAGCTGAAAGGTGTACCACTGGTCCCTGTAGGCTGTCTCCTCCCATCAGATGGGAGTTTCCAGACAGTCTTGGCCCTGGCCAGGAAGATGGGTGAGGAACCCTGTGAATATCTTTTTGTTTTCAAATGTATGCTCTGGGAATGTGGATATAGGGCTTCTGGTCCAGGAAAGAACATCAAATGGGGAATTTTTATTCATGTCTCTGGGGATTTGCAATGTTCCAGCCAAGTGAAATTCACAGTTATTTCACTAAGCATCAGAATTTCATTTTCAGTATTTTAATCATATTTCTCACTTACCTTTAAAGACTGAGACAACCAAGCTTTGAAAAAAAGAGAGAAAAACTGGGCTTTAAGGCAGGCGATTGCTTTGAAACACGGAGGATGAAGGAAGTAGCAGGAAAGTGGCTATTTATTTATTTTATGATTTCAACTTTTATTTTAAATTGAGAGAGTACATGTGCACACTTGTTTCCTGGGTATACTGAGAGATACTGAAGTTTGGGGTGTAACTGATCCCAGCAAGTACTGAACATACTACACAACAGCTTTGCAACTTTTGTCCTCTCCATCCCTCCCCTCCATCTGTCCCACTGTCCCTGGTGTCTAGTGTTGCCATCTTTATGTCCATGAGTCTCACTTATAAGTGAGAACATGCAGTATTTGGTTTTCTGTTCCTGTGTTATTCCACTTAGGATAATGACCTCCAGCTCCATCCATGTTGCTGCAAAGAACATGATTTTGCTGCTGCTTATGGCTGCGTAGTATTCCATGGTGTATATATACCACATTTTCTTTATCCAATTCACCATTGATGGGCACTTAAGCTGATTCCATGTCTTTGCTATTGTGAATAGCGCTGCCATGAACATATGAGTGCATGACTCTTTTTGGTAGAATAATCTATTTTCTTTTGGATATTTGCTGGGTCAAATGGTAGTTCTGTTTTAAGTTCTTTAAGAAATTTCCAAACTGCTTTCCATAGTGGCTGAACTAATTTACATTCCCACCAACAGTGCATAAATGTTTGCTTTTCAGTCCGAGCGTGGTGGCTCATACCTGTAATCCCA